TACACAAATATTATCGTTGGCAGGCGACTTTTTTTTCTTTTTTTGCAAACAATAAAAATATAAAAATAAAAATAAAATAAAATAATAAATTGTCGGTTGTGTTAGCCGTTGCTTTTCCGCCTCGCACCAACACGTTATCGCATACTGACCCAGTACCAGGGACGGGCGAGGGAGGACCTGCTGCGCCCCATTTTTCTTCCTTAAAATAGGTCTGGGTGCGTAGTTTTGTGTCAGTCTGTCGGGTTCCAACCAATCAATTTGCCAGGTTAGATCTGAGGGGAGGAACCTTCTTTTCCTCCAAAATTTCGGGCCTGATGACGCTAGTCTGTATTGGGCAGTATAGCTGGGACGAAAGTACCTGTATCTTAGTCTTGCGTCACGCTGGCTTGACTTACCGCTCCTACGGGGTTCTCCTGTCTGATATTATTGAATCTCCTCTAGTGGCCAGTTTCAATTGCCAATATCCCGGCCATCCTATTTCAATAGCAGCAGGAGGGCGCTCACATATCGATGGCAGGGGAGCTCATTTTCATGCCTGTTGACTTGCGGGAAAAGAGGAAAAAAGGATGACAAGGGTGCTCCGGAACGGCAAGCAGCCATGTGTCTTGCTAAAAAATGAACTGGGTCGCGTATTGTACTATGTAACATCAATAAAAATGGTAGAGAAGGAGGGGACAAAAGGAAATTGCTACGAGGTGGATGATGCAAGCAGAGATCTATCATGACCATGTTTACTCTGTACTTTGATTATTTACTCGTATACCCAAAGCAGCCCAGCGGTGTTGGCGGTGCGACAGGGAAAATCTGTGATTGACACCCAACCCTGATGCGGAGTACTCTGCTCGTACTCCGTACATAGTATTCTCCCGATCCGTTCTGATGGACGCCCCGGACCTGATCTTCTCGTGGTCGGAGCTCAGTGGTCGGAGGCGGGGGACGATTGGGTTCGTGGTCCTGCTCTCGCACCCTCACCCCAGCACCCGTTCTGTACATAGTGATACAGAGTAATCAAAGCTCTCCGGTACGCACTAGAAGAGCTGATACAGGGGTTGGTCCGGCCTGGCCATGCCGACGAAATCATTGCTCGTCTTCGGACGTGAAGCAGCACAGGAAATCACTGTGGACCTTCTAGAGAGATACACCCTGCCTTGCCCCGCGATGCTCGCGACAGGCATGAAGAGCGCCAGGCTCTGCAGTATTTGCCTCGTCCCGCAATGTGTCCGCACGGATACACAGCGCGGTTCGCTCGGGTGTCAAGGGTGTGATGAAGGCGCGAGGCCTGCCACAAGATGCGGGTATGGGGCCAAGAATGGAGAACGGAGGACCTTTGAGAGCTCTATAGTTGCAGGTCAAGTGGAGCTATTATTACTACGGAGCAGTAGGACTCGTTGCCTTTGGGCTGGCGATCCACACGTGCGTCATAGGAGAGCCCGGTCGAAGAGGGCGTTGCACTGGGAACAGCACTACGAGTACGGAGTACTTGGGCAGACATGGTAGCGACAGCACAAGCATAGGTACGGAGTACACAGTAGTGGCGTTTTCATATCGGCCTGGGGAAGGGCTCTCGCCAAGACAAGCGCGGGCCACAAGGCAGATTGATTGCCCATCCCACCCGTGTACTATGATTTAGGTCGCCGACCTGAACCAAAAAAAGGTAACATCGTGTGCACATGTCGCTAATGTGCACCGCCATGGCTGCTCTTTTGGTTTGGCATGGCCATTTGTTCCGTCCCCGGCAATCTCAAGTAAGATACTTGCCGCTGTCCGTCTACCGGGAGGAAGCAGCCTGGCGAGAGGGGGTAGACTACTACTCCGTATGCCGTCTTGCGAACCTGTCGCAAGGGTCGCAGCAGGGAAGTACACCGCACTTGTGTCGTGACAACAGGGGTTTTGATTTCCGAGGCAGCAATAATCTATATGTGCCCCCTCTCAGTGATGATCGTCCCGTCTCTGAAAGCGCACTACTCTCTCGCGCTTCAGAAGCGAGGTTTGACCGCTTTGGAAAAAGCCACACTACATAGTATGTAGACAGGGAACGGCACTTGCAGGACGGCATATGCACGATATGCAACCCGTAAACAAGCAGTAGCCGGATGGGTAGCACTGCCCGTGGCGGAAAAGGCAAGACTCGACACGGCCGGGTCTCTTTCGTCTTAGCAGCCGAGCAAAATCGGGGATGGGGGCTCCTGGCGACGTGGTGATAAGGCTGTGTGCGGCGGTATTCTATTGCAAAGTGGCATGGGGGGGATTGGGCTGCCAATAGGCAGTGGGCCAGATGCTCTATCAAGCTCCATACAGAATACGGAGTACATCGTGTACGTCGTAGATTGCCCCCTGTTGGCCGTACTCCAGCCAATCATGTGTGGTGAAATTGGGGCGATCCTATTAGTTGAAGGATCTAGGCTTCGATAAAGCCAACAGCAGCAAGCAGCTATCTGAAGAGCAGGAGTTCCACATAGGAATAGCAACAGACAAGCACACCAACAAGACAGCTTGATCGCATTGAGTCTATCCAATAATGGTAGCGTGCATAACCATGGGCAAAGAACATAACAGACGGGAAGGAGGGTGTGCACCGATATAAAAAGATATCCCTTCCCCGGCCTGAGCCTCCACACGATGGCACCGGCTTGGAGGCTTGGTGCTTGACCCAGCCCATCCCCCCCTCCCTTTCCAAAGGCACCGTACTACGTAGGGAAGGCCGAGAAGCCGCCCTTGTTTGGACAGGAAGCTGGCGTCCGGTATCCTTCCGGCTGTTCCAATCTGCATCACACTACTGACGGGGATTTTAATGACAAGTCAATATGCACGATGTAGGCTTTTTTTCGTCACTGCCAAATGACAGAAGCAATCTGATAGCGCTGGCAGATGCCCCGTAATGGCAAAAGCAAAGGATGACCTCGTAATAGAAAAAGTAGATCAAATTGAGTTTTTTTTTCTGGGTTCATTTGTCCAATGATTGGGAGTGAAAGAAAGGCAGCTAGATGGAGGTGGAGTGGAAGGGTATGTATGCACAAAGATGTGTTGGCACAGGGTGTTCGGGTACATGGTGAACTCCGGGCACTCTGGCAGAGTGAGCAATTGCGGTGTAAGATGACAAGAGGACGCGGATGGAATAGCACGCGACAGGGCGCTTGCTGGCAGCAATTTTAAACTGCATCGTCATTTCTTCCGATGAGCTCTGGGCGCTTCTGAGTACTCCGTACACCTCCGTACGGACTACGGAGTACGCGGGCGGCGGTGCACACAGCGCGGAATGACCTGTGAGGACCAACCAGTTCCGCTGGGCGTATAGCAAGCGCATTATGATCCGCAGGCGCCGGGAAGCCCTCTGTTGCCGTCGCTATTTTATTTTGCAGAAAAAAGAAAAATGGGGACGAGGCAGAAAAATTCGCTTCTCCGCTCCCGACTAGGAATAGTGCACTCCGTACTAATACCATGTATGTAAGATACATACTCCGTACAAGCGTTGGCCAGCAAAAATAAAACATACCCATACTATGTAGTGTACGGAGTACTCTGTACGAGTACTCCCCGTGATGGTGAGATATGGGGCAGCTCGGGCGAGGAAAAAGAAAAGAGCGGAAAGAAATACACTATCTTACCACGAGGCACATGACGTGAAGGATGGAAACTCGGGTCTTTTTTTCAGAACCAATAGCATTCCTGTTCTCTTCTGACATGCATGGCCGTTTGCTTCACCTCCTGTCCTCTGCATGTCTCTTGACCCTCGGTGTTTCTGCCACATTCTATCAGTACGGAGTACATGCTCGTATGCCAGTTTTGTTTCCGTTTGGCGCGGCCGTGGAGACCCCAAACTAATGGAAGCAAAGAAGAGTGGGCTCTGGACCATGTAAGATACGGAGTACGTATCTTATGTACCGAATGGCTTGCAAGGAACAGCCCCTAGCTCTGCACTATTTTGCACCTCACAAACCCTGCCCACTGTTGCAAGGCAGGCACGGAACGCACTCTGCGACCGCTCGACCTGCGCCATGCCATCGACCTGCAAGCAAGCCCGTATCCAGGCCATTGGCAACATGCCAACACCACAGGCCCGGTGGGATACGAGTGTCTGTACGAGTACACCGTCTCCGTGCTTGTGGCACTGCGGAACAGACCGCATATTACAGTACTGCAGAAAAGCGATGGAGATACAGAGCAGAGCAGCCAGAGAGGGACAGCCAGCGAGCGGGTAATATCGACAGGGGGCGGGACCTGGTCCAAGAGCAGGTACCTGATTGCTTGTCACCTGCTTTCGCTGGGTTGTACCTGCTCCATTCTGCGAGTTGGAGGGATGGGCCTTCACACACCCCTCCACCTTCTGGTACCCACACACCCCACCGCAATACACACACCCCACCCCCCTGTCACTCCAAGCCTCCCTCTCTGGCACTCTTCCCTATCCAACAGAGCAGCCGGCGAGATGTTCGATACGTCGACCGAGTATATATCATGAATGAATGGCCCCCCATCACCATGAGCTGGACACATTCTTCTGGCCTGGCTTCATCATCCACCGATCGTTCACAACTCTGTTGCCTCCTGCTTGCCCTACTTTCGTTACTCTTCCCGAGAGACATTGGCCACTTGGGATCAACATCAACTCAACCTCACACGTCTAAACTGTCTCCCCTCCAAGATCGCTCAGCACCTTACGATTGGCGTCCGTGTTTAACAGGCCGAACAACATCCAGCATATGCCAGCGTTGCTCCGCCCCAAGTCGTCGACTCTTGTTTTAGTCCTCCAGACAGTCTCTCCGTGAAAGCCTAAAACGTAAGTCAGCCAGAAACCATTGGTTCGGCCTGACCGCGTCAACAGCTCCTAACGGTTGCCTCTTGGCTGTTCAGCAGTTGCCGGCTCTTCTTTCTGAGACAAGCGTGCTCTGCTCACTGCAACTATTGGTGCTTGGCCGCCAGCTAGAAATTCTCGGCCCTTCCCCCCCATCGTTGCCAACCCACCAATAGGCTTTTTTCCACATAATTTCTCACTGCACACAATGCGCAGTGGATCAGAGGATTTCAACTCGCTATACCCCGAACCCCCCCAGGGAGTGTTTCCCTCGCCCTCCTTGACCATGAACCACCACATGTCCCCCGACGGCTTCTTTCGAAGACAGGACTGCTATCCCACCAACACCGTGGCATACAACCATCCTGGCGCCACTCTCTACACAGACGCTCCGTTCCATCCTAGCATGTTTGGCGATCGCTTGTCGCCGACAATGTACGCCGACGATCAAGACGTCCACCTGTCGTCGTCAAGCCTGTCCACCACCTCGGGCGCCTCTGCACCCTCATCTGCCGTTGGCTCTCCTCGCTCCAACCACGATCACCCTCCCACTATCACTGAGTGGCCTGCGCCGCACTGCCTGAGCGTCAGCCCCGGTATTGTTGGCCACAACGACTTCTTTGTGCCCAGCGAGTACAGCTACCCCACTAGCAACATGGAAGAGTTTGCCCAGTTCGAGTTCGCACACGGCAAGCCGTCCTATGTTCGTAAGTCGTCAACCAGCATGAATTATCATATCAGCTAAGTGTCAGGGTGCTAACACTTTCATCACAGCGGACCCGTCTGTTCTGCATCCTGAGGTTCGACACATGGGCATTCCTACCTACGACGCCTTTGCGCCGCATACCCACCAGACGGCTTACACCGTCTCGCCAGAGCACTCCCCCGAGCTGAAGGCTGGCTCCGTCTCTCCCTACCCCAACAGCACCAGCACCTACCCCCACTTCAGCAGCCCGTTCCTGGCACCCACTCCAATGGAGGTCCAGAGCAGACGGGGCAGCCGCAGCTCTTTCTCGGGCTTTCCGTCGGAGCCCCAGCTCTCCGACGGCGAGGGAAAGGAGAAGCAGCGGTGTCCGCACCCTGACTGCGGCCGGCGGTACAAGGATCTGCGCGCTCACATGCTCACTCACCAGAATGAGCGGCCAGAGAAGTGCCCTATCCAGACCTGTGAATACCACGTCAAGGGTTTTGCACGCAAGTACGACAAGAACCGCCACACTCTCACGCACTACAAAGGCACTATGGTGTGCGGTTTCTGCCCTGGGTCTGGATCTCCGGCAGAGAAGTCGTTTAACCGTGCCGATGTGTTCAAGCGCCATCTGACAGCCGTCCATGGCGTTGAGCAGACGCCTCCCAACAGCCGCAAGAAGACGACACCCGGTGGCAACGTCGCACAGAAGCTGACCATGTACGCGCCAGACGCAACGGGCAAGTGCAGCACTTGCTCTCAGACCTTTTCCAACGCACAGGAGTTTTACGAGCATCTGGACGACTGTGTGCTGCGCATTGTGCAGCAGGAGGACCCCGCTGAAGCTGTTAATGCTTCCCACCTGGCAGAGGTTGAGAACGACGCGGAGCTGATGGAGACCTTGGAGAAGAACCAGCTGCCAACGACGCCGGCTGGCGTTCAACCTGTCGGCGACGGAGAAGAGGACGACGATATGGAGGAAGAGGACGGCGACGAGGATGCCTCCAGAGACGATGGCTCCTTCAACGGGCCGTTGGGATCGCCCCGCAAATCAAAGGGCAACCCGGTAAACGGTGTCCAGAAGTCGCGTGGCATGACTCACTCCCGTGGTGGTGTTCCCTTCACAGGCAAGACGCGGTCACGGCGCAGCCGCCAGAACTACCCTAGCTCGTGGGGCTTTGACAAGGGCCAGATGACGATGCGGAAGCGCGTCATGACCGTCTTTGCGGGACCCCGGCGCCTGGCCAAGGATGACATGATGCTGTCTACTGAGCACGAGATCCGCCTCAAGCTTTCGGATGGCAAGGCCTATGTCACCGACTTGGACGTGCAAACGATGAAGCGTGCGGAAGGCTTTTTGCAGTCCACCGAAGAGGAGAAGGGTCTCTGGGTCTCTGACGACCCAACTGAGGAGCAGACCCGGGAGATGCAGGCAGCGCAGGTGGTGGCCTCTACCATCATGTGATTGTCCGTAGCCGGACGCAAAACAATACCCTCCCCCCCCCCCTAAAAAAAGGTCCGGAAAACCACGAGGCTCCTTAGCCTCCTTGTTATGTTTTGATATTTCTTTACGTTTGGGATGAGGCGAGGCGCAATCAGTCTTGAGTGGATGGATATTGGGCTATGAAATGATTTTGGGTCACGACTATTTGGTATGAATTGGAGGGCGATCATAGGTCATCTCAAGTGTGTTGAATACTTTCCGATGTCATATATCGACATTTCGTCTTTTGATATTGTTGCCGGCTTCCTTTATGGGTCTCAGCCTAATTGGCGGCAAGATACCCCGATTAATATATGAGTCGTGCGATACAGCACGATATCTTCGACCAGTACTACTTATTGTTTTGTTTGTATTAATGTCTTCCGTATTGCAAGCCGTGATTCGTTGCGGTGTGGCGAGATTCTATGAGGACGGAAGAAGCGTCTCTTTCCCCGCGTTGTCATCCCTTGCGGAAAGGAGCGCCGAGGTAGGAAGGAACGAGCGGTTAGCCCACAAGAGGGTCCTTCGTCCTGCGGAAGATAGTAAAGTCTCGCTGATTTATGCATAGATGCACGGATGAGCCAAAGGTCATTTGTGAGTCTGCTCCTGCATCATCTTCCCGACCTAGCCAGAAACCAGCAGAGAGATGTGGATCACGATATGCTCTACACCGCCCATACTGGCCGAGGGCGTCAGCCATCTAGATACGACGCAAGTATTTGCAGCGGTTCGAAGTAAACCGACAACCTGGTGTGCTAATAATGACCGAACGGCGAGATATTATTGGCCGATGCGGACGTCGATGAGGAAAAGGACAGGTCTCAAAGGCCGGCGTGAAAAGTTTCTATCACATCAATGGTGAGCTGGAAATGTCGCTGGTCAATGCAGCTACCACCAATGTGTTCACGGCTTTCTGTAAGACAGTCGCTAGACCGGTAGCACAGCAGCCTGCGGTGGCCCGTATCCTGGCTTCTCAAGGAAGCAATAAAGGAAGTATCTCGCATGACCTCCTTTGTGTTGACTTTATTGGCTTTCATATCGGCAGGGACAAGGGGCTTTCCTTCTTCGAAGAGAGCATCCTGGGTACCGTCGGTTTCGAAATGGAGCGCATACGGGAGCGGAGTTGCAACAGCGAGGAACGGCCATCGACGGCGGACTGGACAGGTCGACGATAAGACGGGGGGAAAACGATGGCTGATCTCGTGGTCCCGAGCACCGCAATTGTGTCGACACAGACCGGTTGACAGTACTGGCAGAAACTGACAGAATGATCTTTCCAGTGAACTTGGCGCCTAGGCGGACGATGAAAATCAAAGACGAAGTATGCACGGGCCCGAAAAGAAAGAAGAAGAGAAGGGCATGACATCCTATATATATATATAAAAGCATACACTAACGTGCACTTACATAGCATACGTCTATATATACGTGCGCATGTTCAAAGTCCCACATTTGCATAGCCTCAGGGGAATAGTCATCCTCTCATTACGAGAACAGAACTGCCATACCGCTCCCGATATCCACAGCCCCTCTGGCTCTGGGGTGTCGAGAATTAACAGAAACGGAAATTCATGGTTTGCGCGTTTTTAAATTGGCAACGGCTGGCGTTGCTGAGCCAGACATGGGGTCTTGGGCGTGCGGCTGAACGCTCACCTGAGTGCTGTCAGCGTCCTGATTTGGCCAAACACGCACAAACGTATCCCCACAAGGAGCAGCGACTATCGAAAAGAGAATATGCGTTGGGTCCAATGGGTGTGCTTGATGGAGGTCATCCTTTTTTACGGCATGTTCACTATGATATCTTGGCGATCTCGTTCGTCGAGAGGGATGTTCATGTGACCGTCAGCCCGAGGTTACCAACCAGGGAAATATTAGCTGAGGTTGGATGTTTGACGAATGGGAAAGGAATATTGTCTTCCAACCGGGCGATCCGTGGTCACAAATCCAATCCATCCATGGCTCACATACACGCACGCGCGACGGGAAGAAGCGATTAATCAGTGGCATACATGATGTTTAGTTTACTCCCTGCAACGCCGGATGCGCCCTCCCCCTTCTTGCTGTGGCCAAGGAAAAAAGCAGTGCCGCAATGGTGTAGGTACAACAGGATTGAACAAGGGCAAAAAGGGACAACCAAACCATCCTAATACGAAAAACAAAAAGCAAGCGAAGCCATAAAATCCCAAGTCCGCAAATCAAACATTCAGAGCCGCCAAGCGTCCGGTCAGCATGACACAGTCCCGGAAATGGGACGGACAGCAGCCAGCTAGTCAGCTTGTCAGCTGTCAGCAACAGACGCCCCTCCACAGTCCAGCACCGTCAACACTGCTATCAGCTCAACCCTCAAACTCCTTCTGCAGGTACACAGCCGCGACGAGCGCGTGGTCACGCTCGTACGGCTCCAGCGTCAGCTGCTCCTTGGGGAAGAAGCGGTCCTCCTTCAACTTCTGCACCTCGCTGGCGAACACGGTCTCGGGCGGGGCGGTCGAGTCGATACAGTTGGCCTTGATGCTCAGAAGCAGGCCACCGCCTCGCCGCAGAAACATGCTCGCGTTGAGGGCCACAATACGGGCCTGATCGGGCTGGGCGACGTCGCTAAAGATGCAGTCGACAGTACGGACGATGAAACGGTACTTGAGCGGGTGACGGGCACTGTGGAGAACCATTAGTAACGGATTAAGCAACAAGAAGCCGGAAACCCGGGAGGATGTTCAACGCACTCTTCCACGATGGGGATGACATTGGGCCGCTTCGAGGCCATGTTGATCAGGTCGCGACCCGAACGATGGCTGAACTCGACCGCGTAGACGGTTCCGGTAGGGCCAACCAGGTCGGCAACGTGCGACACCGACGTACCAGAGGCAGCACCGAGGTCTGGACAGATAATGGCTGTTAGCGATCTGAAAGCCCACTAAGATCAGGCAGACAATACATACAGAGAACCTTGGAGCCGGGCTTCATGAAGATGTTGTCGACACCACCGAGGATACCGGCAGCGATCTTGGAACGGAAAGGGTTCTGCACCAGAGTTAGTGGATAGGTCCGACAAGAAAAAACAAAAGGCTGATCAGCACTTACCCAGACGCGGTACTCAATCTTCCCTGCTGGCGTACCGTCCTCGTTCTTGACCGAGTTCTCGACCGTGATGCGCTTCTCGCCGTAGACAGAGATGCCAGGGGCAATGTTTGCCGTGGCCAGCAGGTCCTCCTTGCCACCGCGGGCAACGAAAATGCCCTTGTGACGATGCGGCTCCTAAGCAAAAGAGGGGCGGTCAGTCGGCCATCCAGCACAGGACAAAAGCAAGAGCACAGAGTGGGAGGCTCAGATACATACCACGACGACCTTCTTGCCACCAGCGGCACCAGCGGCACCACCACGGCCACCACGGCCACCAGGACCGCCACGACCACCTCGTGAGAATCCTCCACGGCCACCACGATCACCACCGCGACCGCCACCACGAGCGCCGAAGCCACCACGGCTGGGACCTCCTGCTATTCGAGTGAGTAAGACAGATCACAGCCACGGCTGCGGGAAATCATCTCTGCTTACCTCCTCCACGGCCACCCCGAGAGAAACCACCACGGCCACCACGATCACCACCCCGTGAGAAGCCACCACGGCCACCACCGCCACGCGGAACGAAACCCATTGTTATGTGTGTTTTGTTAAGATCGCCTCAAGGCGAAGACGAATTATACCGATAAAGATCTCCAGCAGCTACCCCGTCGAAATGTCTGTTGCTTGTAGATCGAAAAAAGTGGTATAACACCAGAGACAGAAACGATGGGCAAAAAAAAAAGAGTCCGCCTTGGAGCTTCAAAAATTTTTAAGCAGCTTTTCTTTTTTCTGCCGTGACCAATAATTCCTCGAGGCCGGAAACCCACATCGGATCAATTGTTCTGCCATGCCGACCGGGCCGGCTAGCAGTATCTGCATAATATCACGTGCACAGTCTCTTAAACAGTGGACCTTTGCCCCGCCAGGCGAATCATGGTAGGGCTGTCCAACCCTAGCCCTTCTTTCGGAAAAATGATCGAGCCGTGGTCAAAAAAAAATGGGCGGTGCGGCCCACCTCTGCCATACGCAGAGAAAAAAATATTGGTGGTCTCGACACTACTTCGAAGAAAGTTTTGCGTCCATTCCTTCTCCGCAAGCACGATCACCACAACTCATTTACTCAACACCATCTTCCCCCCATATCATCAAGATGGTAAGTTTTATCTGCAGAAAATATTGTTTGCGGGATCATCACGGCAGGTCGTCTGTGTGCGTCAAAAGGAGGTTGCGGGTGAGAATGTGCGGCAACGACAATTGGGCAGTTTCTTCGCGACGACGACAAAAGAGTCACGACCAAAAACCGAGGTGTATCGACGACAAAGCGAATAACGAGTGGCATTTGTACTGCTACGTGCAGAATAGAGCGCCAATGTCCCACATATACTCCCACGCCCCGTTCTCGTCTGCCATCCATTGAATCTGTCACAGCTGAAAGAGGGGGAAACATGGATGAAGCCGCGGACAATTGTTCTTGCTGCACGAAGAAATGGTCATGGCTGACACTGTCTCTCTTTCTCTTGCACAGGTTCGCTACGCTGCGACGGAGATTGCTCCCGCCAAGTCGGCCCGCGCTCGCGGTGCCTACCTGCGCGTCTCTTTCAAGAACACCCGCGAGACGGCCCAGGCCATCAACGGCTGGAAGCTACAGCGCGCCCTTACCTTCCTCGAGAACGTCAAGACCAAGACCGAGGCCGTCCCCATGCGCCGGTACGCCGGCAGCACCGGTCGGACCGCCCAGGGCAAGCAGTTTGGTGTGACCAAGGCTCGCTGGCCCACCAAGTCTGCCGAGTTCCTGCTCGGCCTGCTGAAGAACGCTGAGGCCAACGCGGACGCCAAGGGCCTGGACACCAGCAACTTGGTGGTGAAGCACATCCAGGTCAACCAGGCCCCCAAGCAGCGGCGGCGGACGTACCGTGCTCACGGTCGGGTATGTGATTCTCCTGCTCAGCGCTCATCTGTCCTGTCTTTTGGTCTCCTCGCGCTCTCGTGCTGACAATTGCACCAGATCAACCCCTACATGTCGAACCCATGCCACATTGAGCTCATCCTGACCGAGGCCGAGGAGACCGTCGCCAAGGCTGAGGTCGTTGGCGCAAACGAGCACCTCAGCTCAAGACAGCGTGGCGTGCGCGTCCGCAAGGCCCTGACTGCCGCATAAGCGGAGACGGGTGAAGACGAGCGGGCGAGAGGGGCTGTGTGTTGGCGTGTAGGGCTACTTCAATGGAGGTCGGGAAACGCGAAATCTATTTTTTTAAACCCCTGGGAAATCAAGAAAGTAAAAGACGCCACCCTCGGAGTACAAGGAAGAGGGGAGGAGCAGGTTTAGAAAAGAAGGGATGTCTTGCGTTTCTTTCTCTTTTCTTTTGCCCTTCATCCCCCCGCTGCACAACCAATTGTGGCTTTCTGTTATGGGTTGCGTTATTTCTATTTTTCTAAAAAAAAAGAGCATAAAAGCATACCGAGGTGGGACGTTGGTTCGCGAGGTTCCCCTAAAACGAAAGAGGACTAAAAAAAAAGAAGAAAATATCCAAATTGCTTGACATAATGTAACACCCCTCAAAGTTCCATGTCTCTCTGCAAAGTGCTCACGGCTTTGTCTATTTCAGTCCCGCAGGGACTTCACACTTTCTTTTACCTGAAGCTCTAGCCACACTACAAGACGGCATACGTTCGCATTGAACACGAGAGAACAATATAAGGCAATAGGCGTAGTTGCCATATGCACGCAGTAATTTTCGTATTTGTCGAGTATTGCCGAACCGTCATTATTCATCAGGAGATCTCTTCATTAATATGGTCTTGTCTTACAATTTGGGGAAAGTTGACGCACTATCCAAAAATAGCGTAAACGAGCAGAGACAATTGGAGTGAAGAACAGAGGAACGAAAGAAATGGGATGTGGAATGAGAAATAGAAGACGGGCTGGAAAAACAAAAAGTCGGTCTTGACAAGACTGAAAATCTGCAATATGTAATACACGGCATGTGTATCACACAGAGGAGGACTGCGTTGTTGGCTAAACGGTGGCAGAGTCCCAGGACTCTGTCCAGTGTAACGTAATGATTCCAAGCTCGATAGGAACGGGCTATTAGGAGGCTGATATCATGAAGCTGAGAGACGGAAACATAATAATGAGAAGGAGGGAGATAAGAGAACGTAGGACGAAAGGAAAACGACGAGTCCAGTAATCCGAAATGAGGTAACAGATGCTACGTAAGAACAACTTCCAGAGACAGAAATAGCCGAGGACCGGAAGTTTGGGCTACTCTGGCATGCCACCGTACTCGAAGACGCTGCTCGACTCTGGTTGGCTCTGTATTTGCTGTAGCTGCTCTTGAAGATTCATGTAGTCGGCTCGATGAAGGTGGCCGACAAAGTTGACCGGATAGTTATGCTCAATCGTATATTTCTTCATGTAGTTGACCCGTGACGACGGATGCAACCGATCCATATCGTTTTCCGGTATCATCCGAACGGGAGAGAACCCGAGTTGTGCTTCACCGCTTAGAAGTGCCGGGGATTTGTGGCCTGTGTGTACTATGCCATGGCATTCAGGGTGTGCGTTTGGCTTACAGCCCTGATTACCGTACGTCAATATCGGCCTATGTGTTTATGCCACTTCGTCAGTGCATGAGCTTTAATGTGGTCAATGTGAATGATCAGATATCCAAAGTATTCACGCACACGCCGATAGAATGGCCTTCCCACCGCTCCAAAAGGATAAAGCGTCTGTCTTTCGTAAACACGTCATCTCGTCGTGTCGAGAACGCACTTGATGGGGCATACACCTTCGCATTCGCCCCCATGGGTTGAGACCACTCGATTTTCAGAACCTAGTACAGACAGTCAGCCTCAAGACGCCAAATATATGTACAAGCAGCAGGTCGACATACACGGCCGGGCCAGAAATCCTTTGAGGGGTGGATGCTGAATCCTGTATGCACTATTAGTAGGGTCCGGAGAGTGTCCTTCCTGAAATCAACCTACGGTGGTCGGTATAGCGTTTTGCTTTTTTAGGTTTAGAGTACTGCGTATCGGGAGACTTCCCCTTTGATACTGCATATGCGTTTCTATCTGCTGCAATGTGCGATAAGTGTGTCAGTCCTGTACAGATTGTGATGCTGGACTGGTTCAAATCTTGCCTGGCATATTATTGCCTGATGTCATCTGCTGGTCGGCTAGATCGCCCAACAGCTCGTCATCTCCATCTTCAATAGGGTATTTAAGCCCTATATACATGTCAGCCCAGGTAGCCATCGGTCTATTCATATCATATAACAATATAGCTAGTCTCACCTTGCAGTTTCTCGTTCGAGTCGAAATCCGCGACGTAGCCTGGATCCCATGTGGACGATGACGGCACTGGCCCAGATGCAAATGGCCGTTGCTGGTTTTCATCATAAGGATTGACAACACCGACGGTGATGGACTGTTGCTTTGAGTGTTCGTAATAGCTGGAAGTGTAAGCACTCAGACCTGGCTGTGGGTAAACATCACCCGAATCTTGATAATGTCAGCCGGGTTAGGGTTTTGAAGATATATTCATACGAGAAAACTGACACCGGCTGTTGCCTCTTTCGAGCGTGGGAATCGTGTGATTCTGTCCCCTCGACCTTGTGGATGTATTTGATCCCCTCCTAGGCGTAGAGCTGATTTTCATTAAAGGAGCTGGATTTCTGGAACTGTGCTTGGGGTGTGGGGTCTGCGAATAACTCGAGTCCACAGGAGACTGCACTGGGTCTGCACTCTGGACATGGGGACTAGTATACGATCCGGATCTCTCGTGGTTGGATATATGGGGGGTATCGTTTTCCATTCCTTTGGTTTGTACACTGTATACGTTCTGGCTAAAAAATGCTCCAGTTGCTGCGAACGTATACGGAGACTGTTGGATATAACCGGAGCCGGTATCTTGGTACCCATACTGAGGCTCTCGGACATAGTCGGCTCCAAGTTCTTGATGCACATACTGGGGCTGCTGAGTATAATTGTTCCCTAAGCCTGGGTACCCGTACTGGTGCATCTGGGTGTAATTGGTGCTTGGTGTGTAGGCCGTATACTGAGACTGGTTTCCGGACGAGGATGTGTCCCGCAACTCTGGAGTCTGAACCGGGGGTTCTCGTTGGATGTGGCTACCCTTGTATGGTCGATGTGTGTATCGTGCGCTGGTTAAGGACAAGGCTGTGGCCTGCGTCCCCGTGGTGATACTCGAGGGCATGCTGGAGGTATAATCGTAGTTGAAATCATCGATGGAATCATTTGATGATAGCGACACTCTACCGAGCCGGTTACTTACATCATCTACTTCATTCGGGATAGATGTGCGAGGCTTATTGTAGTTGTGCACGGCATCTACAGCAGGCAGATTGTCTTGCTCTACGCAATGTGTGAGAGCCTCTTCAGCGTTCCAATTTGACACAACATTCTCACCTGTTTTGACGCCTGCGATAGAGGTGCTATCACCCAAGTGCTCCTGACCTGTCTCGAGATAATCATATTCGTATTCATCCATGTTGTCGCGCGATCTTCATTGGTGGTGTAGAGCGATGCTCAGACCTATTGCCGTAGGTGCCAGGCGAAGTTGGCTGTCGTGAGAGTGGTGAAGAAGTCAATGAATTGATCTGATGCTGGAAATCCAGGAAAAGAGCACAACAGAAAGCGCACAAAAGGCTGGCATGGATTGCAATGGCATTATACGAAGCAAAACCCCTGACTGCTTTTGCTCGAAAAAGAGGAGATTTCCAGAAACACGCAAGGCAATGCGGCTCTGCACGCTGTGCCAGCGGACACGTTCGGCACAGAATCCAATGGTAGAGTGTGTAGGGGAGGGTTGGAACGGCCATCTTGGCTGGAGGCAAATTGACTTCATTGGGTCCACGTAATTCTTGTGACGCACGGGAAGGCAGAGAATTGACAGCAGAGGCGTCTAGCTATCTGAGAGGGTGTCCGAATGAGCTTTCCTGCTGTGAAGCGACGCAGCCGTAGATGGGTAGTGGCTGGCTGCTGGCTGCTTGGAGGGTAGGCTGCAGCAAGAATCACAGCCGGTCCATCATCCCTGTGACCGTAAGTAAGCACGGCAGCAGAGAGCAGCAGCCACACAGAGATAAGCCGCTGGAAGCGCCATGCACAGTCGCCTTTCCCATGCTTGGACTAGCCGTTCACGGCGGTAGGTACCTGCAAAGATGCCCAAGCTGGAGCCTGGCGACACGTTCCTTTGGTCGTGAGATTTGGAAGGATAATGAGAGTGGCTCTTGGCATTGCCGTCTGCCCACTGTTGATGACGCAAAAAACGGCTGGACACGAATTGTGTATTTGTACAGAACGTGGAGTCCAAGACCATCATCTTCCTCGTTGATTTTAGCAGTGGGTTGGGGTTCCAACCACTAGCGACAAAAGCGGCACGAATAGTCTCGACATTCTGGAGGTGGGCCGCTTAAAATGCACGACGTAGTGCGTTCGTAAATATGAGGAAATGAAACAAGGAAGAAAACAAGAATACACGTAGAATATGCAAGATGGAGAGATGACGGGCGGCTGTTGATTTCACTGTTAGTACTGGGAAGGAGCCATTTAAGAGTGCCTGCCCTCCATAATAATCTGCCTCGTCACGGCGCGTCGAACTTGGTATTGTGTAATTGGCTGCCCTATTTTTATTTTATCTTAAACTTTCCCCTCCCTGTACTCCGTGTCATATGTCTTTTCATCTCCGGATTTTCGCATTCTCTTACAAGAAATCAAGCAAAGGTGCACTTGCAATCCCAGCCTCCTCACAAGTTGCCCTTTATAACGGCGCTCTCTCATGAACGATCTACGCCGCTCCCCTTGGAGCGCCTTCATAATCAAGCCAAACAACTTTCGCGATTGAGCGTCCTTGCAAGTGGAGACCACAAGAGCATCGTCATGGACATTCGATCAGCGGCAACGGCCGATAGCACAACTCGAGAAAGCGAAAGCGACGAGGAGGCTGAAGAAGAGAAACGAGACTATAAAATGCAACGAAGAAAAAGCACCGGAGATGTACCGATCGCTGTAGAACGTGGCAAAGGTGTGGGGTCGTTTCGACAGTGGAGTACGTGATCCCTCAGCTATTGACTCGTTGCTTTGGGAGAAGGGCAAAGGCTTTACATAGAGGCGTGCTGGTGCCAGCGGCGTTGGGCCATGAATGAAGACGTGCGACACGTGTCTGGATGTTGACATCACTGACGCGCATGCTTAGCACCTTTGGCCGCGATGCAAGAGAACAACAAGCGTAACATGGACGATACCGTATTGCACGGCGAAAATGTTGCGAGCCGTCCAGATGGCCTTATTACTCCCATTCCGATGTCGTCAACTCTGCGCATTTCCGAAAGCCACAAGGCGCTCGGTCATCCCTCCACTCCTCCAGCCTCACTTGACAACGCTTCCATCCCCCCTCTGGCAGTGGATGCCCCAGATATGGATAAGACAGCGGAACTTGTAACACTGTGGTCCAAAATCAGCACTGCGCAGCTACGAAGCGGACAATGCCGAAAGACCATGGCCGAAATGCGGGTGCAAATGAGGGCACTTCGACAGCAGAGACGAGAAATGGAGAATCGCTTCACAGAAATGGAACATGACTTACCCAAGAGTCTGCATACAAATTTAATTAACTCCTCACGAGAATTGCAAAAGAAATACGACTCTGCTGAGTCTAAGTATGAGGTTTTAGAGACGGAGTTGGAGGAGTTGGAGGCAGTTAATCAGGATGCCGAGGTCAAATTACTTCGACTGTTGCTTGTCGGTCATCCGGCAGAGGATGCCATTTTTAAAACCCTCGCCGACAGAAACATGGCTACCCGAACAGAAGGAGATACATCAGTTACTAACGATAATAGCAGAGAGCAAAGGGAGACGGGATGTCTTCCAAATGGCCACGGATCTTTTACGATGAACATTTCTTACCCCAAACCGACCAAGGACCCTTCTTTGGATGAACCCTTACTTATGGGAATATCTGGAGACCGGTACTCGGATATCCATCCTCTATATGCAGAACTCATTCACGCCATCGGGGACCACCAGATGGCAGACGAGGGCGTTTCTGAATTACTTTTAGAGCGCGACATTATTTTAGGCGAGCTGCAAACGAAATTACTATTGGAACGCATCCAACAAGGCAATATGTACATGAGCGAGAAGGAACTCGAGGCCTTAAAAACGAGCTTGTCTAAATCAAGTCCTGCTTCTCTCGCCGAAAACTACGCGTCCTTTATGGGAGCGCAAGATGCAGCCTTTTTACGGCAATTCGACAGCAAACTGGACGCTTCCTTGGACGAGCTCAATTACCAAGAGTCGAGGATCAGCACGTTGCGTGAAGTCTGCATTGCCACTGGAGCCATGAGGAGAAATATGCCGTACAGAGAGGAGTATGCTATTTGGGGTCAGACTGCCGGTGTTGAAAATGACGACCTGGTGCAAATGGCCATGGCGGACGCACCGCCACAAGGGACAATGGACCCAAATGCCCTCACACACCCATATTTCCCTATTCTGTTATCCAGTCCCAAGCACCTGCTTGAGGTGGAGCCTCTCACGGCCAAGGCGGCGCTGCAGAGGGCACTGAAACTCCCTGCAGACTACCCGATGCGGGAGCTGATGGTGCAGGAAAAAGTCAAGGAATACGGAATTTCCACCGCGTTGACACGATTTAAGGAAGGGCACAAGACGGATTTCATCAATCGCTGGCTGCTACAACGTCTCCGCATCTCTCCCCTAGAGGTGGAACTCCTCTACTCTCTCTTCAAAATGAGACTCGAAGTGCTGAACTATACGCAGTGGCAAACGGATGTTCTCCGTTTCTGGACGGAGGATGGCCTCCAGTCTGCATCTGGCCCGGTGACGGCCTGCGCCTCGGTTCCTTCAATATCTTCGGAGGAAGCAGTTCGCACCTTTTGAATGGACACAGATTACCGCCCAGTGTCGCCACCTGAAAAGCAGTCCACAAGCCCCATGTTCTCATTGATGAGCACAGAGATAAGTCACTCGTTGGACCATGCAGGCGGGCGTGTAAGGGTAACTTAAGCACTGCATCACACCTCAGGTAATCGTGAAGACGGCTCGAGCGCTTATATAGTACTGAGAATCATGATACTTAAAGGTGCAGGATTTTGGTCTATGTTCTTTCAGTACCCCGTCATCTCGTGTCGACTTCGCTCTCTTTTGTTCTCGCTCGCTCGCTTTGTTTGTGTGAAGTTGCCTTTCGAGAGCATAACGCACATGGGTTTTCTTGTAATATATTCAGCGGTGTTTTCTTTTGTTTATTTCGCTCTTTCTGTCTCTGTCTGCGTCGATTGATATCTTCATGCGATACCCCGGGGAGCGTTGTGAGTGCAGAAATGTATAACACTATGCTTGTATGAAACTTTTACGGCCAGTGCAAAGCTTTTCGCATCCTGGTGTATGATAAGGGACGAGGGCAACGTGTACAGCTAGTTTGACCATTTAGAAAGCTGCGAATAATATTTGCTGCGTAACTGGAGTGTCTCGCCTGACTGGGAATGTGCCTTGTTGTCTGCGGAAAAGCCAATCCATGCCTCTATTGCATAATACGGGGTATGTATCCTATTGCACAGTGAATATGTGCGTCTTATGACGGGAAGAGAACACTGTGTACTATGTACGATGCATTTAAAGTACTTCTATCTCGAGATATTGAGTTTGGTGATTGCACCATGGGATTAGCTGCTGACCTGCGTACCTAGTTCTTGTCGCTCTGCCACCATATCAGCTGCAGCAAGGCGCAATGCTCTGTATGTTCCCCCGAAAACCTAGGCACGAAGACTTGATGGACGGCTATCGGGCGGCCATTACATGCAATGTGTACTTCACCAAGTACCCGGAATGCGAGTACAGACCCCCACGAATAAGTTGCACGATTGCCCTTTGGGGCAATAGAAAGCTTATGCAGCTACCTGCACCATTCTACTGCTCCCATTGCGGCTTAATGCAGGCTTGGGCCAAGGCTGATATCGGCCGAAACTCGGGCGACATGGACGGCAATGTTCCTCCTTGGTATGCATTATGTTCGGGGTGATGCAGACAAAACCTAGGCAGCAGCTCGACAGCTACATAGAAGAGCGTGGTGGTGACATATGAGGCGATTCACGTTCAGATAACGGTGCTTAGCTTTTCTCGCCCTACGGAGTGCACATAGTAAATTTCGGCTCCGGCAGTCTCATCCGGACAGGGAAGCCAACAGAAAACGTTGGGCCTAGAGCCGGCGCGATGTTACGACAGATACGATGCCGATTGCTTCTCCTTCGAGCAGCGCTGTTTCCAGCTCCTCGCCATGGATCTTACTGTGTAGTGCATACGCTAATTTAGTGGCCGCTGTCCCTTGTTGCAGGGCCTCTTGGCGTTGGACCTGCGCCTCGGAAGCTGTTACATAGTACAGCCGGCGCCGAAAGAGCGGGTTCTCCAGGGGAAAGAGGTCTGAGAGACGTTTCAGACTTTACTTGAGACACTGCAGCAGGAAGCGGGACAGCCGCGGAACGCGCCTGCCACAGGCAGCAGCTTGCTGCTGCTTCCTAATACGGAGTACTCCGTAAGAAAGCTTGAGCTTTTCCATGGCAATGCCTTGTGATTCGCCATCGCCTTCCATCTTGGCCAGCCATATCGTCTCTCCTCCTCACATGCAAGCGACACACACAAAGATGCAAGCCTCGGCATCACCGCCCTTCTTGGCCCCGTCTGCACTCCACAAGGCTTGTCCTGCTGCCGTGTCACAGCCATGTCGCGAACCGCTGTCGTCTTATCGGTCTCCGGTCCTAAGGACAAGATGCGAGAGTGGCAATGGACGAAAAGGGAGAGACACAGACGCAAATGCACACAAACCAGGCACGATTCTAGCAATGAGGCTCTAGGGTCGTTGCTCTTTTCTAGCTCGTTCATTGCCCTGCAAAGCTTCGGTTTCTTAACCGCGGATGTGCCCCCCCCCGAACGTCTGGATACGGTGAACCTCTCTACCCGTTCTTCTCGCCGTTCTTTTTATAGCTGCGATTTGACGTATCAGCTGCTCTCGGGACTTTCTTTCGGGTTCTGCCTACTTGACTTCATTCTTCAATATCTCTTTTGCAACCCCTTTGTTTCGCTTGCCTTTTCTTCGCTGTCCTTTTCTTGTCCACCTCCTTTTCTCTGCTCTGGCCTCCTTCTTAATAGCCACACTTTCTTATTATTTCGCCCAAAATAGCTTAATCAAGTTGACGATCAACCCCGAAGCTGCAACTCATCGTCGTCTTGCCCTACTGAAATAACGTCTCTGTCAAATCGACATACGGATGTCCGCGTTGCCACTCAATGGATGTCACTGCGTTGGAATTTGAACAGCCCGCCCTTCCTTAAGCCCCCACCTGGATTATCTGCTTTTCAAGACTTCCGACCTCTCTATCCTCTTTACATGAACATAGCAAAAATCTCTCTCTTGTGCTGGGTCCCCCTCTGCACCGTACAACATGTCGAACTGTACTGCCACGCCAACCTCTTTCTTCCTACAGAAATACAATATATTCAGCAAAATAGACTCCTGCTTGGATAGATCTATAGCGGTCCGTGCAATTATCGCCACACCCACGTGGCCCACTGGCCGTCTTTCCTGCTATGTCGCGGCCGCTTGCGTGTTGCTAGCAGTGTACATTATCCGCCCAGCCGAGCAGCAGAAACCAAACTTCCCGTTTTACAAGGCGGCAAAGGCAAAATGGATTTTTGACGCAGAAATACTGATTCGACACAGTTACAACAAAGTTCGCTCATTTCTTGCAGACACCCGTGGCTTGTTTCAAGCAGCTGACCTCACCTCTGCTCAGTTCTATGATCGAGTATATCAAATCAAGGCTACGGAAGGACTGCAAGTCCTTATCCCGGCCAGGTTCATAAGCGAGCTGAAGGGCTTGCCCGAGCATATATTGAGCGCCACCGAGGCTGTCAACGATGTAAATAGGGTCGACCGATTGCCTTTCCTCACATCACCAAGCTTCCAAGCTAACTCGTGAAGGCTATGCTGAGCAAATACACAAAATTCAGCCTCGGCCACAATGGGGACATGCTTTCTGCCGTCATCCGCACCAAGCTGACGCAGAACTTGGCCCGCCTGGTACCTCAACTGCGGAAAGAGATTGAGTATGTCGTGGCTACGGAGTTCCCCACGTGTGACGGTGCGTTCTGAATCCTGCTAGTGCTCGCAGTCTGGCCGGACTGTCCCTGACCAAAGCTGCAGACTGGACGCCCGTCAAGGTGCATCCGTTCGGCCTCCGGGCTATAGCCCGCCTCAGCGGCCGTGCCTTTGTCGGTTTGTCCATTAGCCGCAAGGAGGAGTGGATGGACACAAGCATCAACTTTGCCATTCACGTCTTTATGGCTGTCATCAGGCTGCAGTTCATCCCGTCCTGGCTGCGTCCCATCGGCCAGTATCTTGTCACAGACCTGCGCCGGATCCGCGCCGATATCACTCGCGGCCAGGCTATGCTGCAGCCTATCATCGAGGAGCGTCTGCGCGATATGGACACTCCGGGGTATGAGAAGCCTGATGATCTGATCCAATGGCTTCTCGACACGCTTCCGCCTAGCGAGCGCCATGACTACCGTGCCCAGACTGAAATGCAGCTGGTGCTGAGCGCTGCATCCATCCATACGACTAACAACCTGCTGGCAGACTGCATTTTCGACCTGGCTGCATACCCGGGTGTGCAGGACGCGTTGCGCCAGGAATCAATTGAAGTGTTGTGTAACGATGAGGCCTGGGCACGCAAGGACAGTTTGGCGCGCCTCAAGAAGATGGATAGCTTCATCAAAGAGGTGCAGCGAGTTTCGGGCAACATAAGTAGGTTGATGAATGCCGATTCTTTATCCTACCCCCTGGATACACTTGCTAACGGGCTGCTCAGCTGGATTCATTCGCAAGGTCATGCGTCCAATCGTCCTCTCTGACGGAACTCACCTGCCATCCGGCACAAGGCTTTTGGCACCGCAAGCGGGATACTCACAAGACGAGCGTTTTTACCCGGGTGCCGACGTGTTTGACCCAATGCGATTTTTCCGCTTGCGCCAGCAACAGCAACAGTCCGATTCGAAACTGAGAGAACAGCGGAGCGGACACCAGTTTCACTTTACGTCCATTGGTGACGCAAATATGAACTTTGGCGCCGGCAAGCACGCGTGTCCTGGCCGCTTCTTTGCGGGCAACGAGATCAAGATGATGTTGGCATACTACCTTATCAACTTTGAAATGAAACTACAGCAAGGCCAAAGGCGACCATATCCCATGATGGTGATGATGTCCAAGACCCCTGACCCGAACGGCGAGGTGCTGTTTCGGCGACGAACGGTGGACCGGGTTGATGGCGATTGAAATGGCGATCGATCGCCATCCACTTCTGCTTTCATATTGAGATCGTTGGGCATCTGAAAGCCTGGAGCAGTTTACACATATTGGGCCTGGAGCTCCAATGCGAACTTATCCATATGCATAGATGCATATGTATATATTATATATATATATGAGACTGGGAAAGGGGGACGGCGTTGATAAATTGTCCTTTGGTACGGCCTGGAAATTAAGCGGGCCATTCGCACTTGATTTGATACTCGTGTTCGTGTGTTTTGCAGACTACGCGCACGCTCAAGATTTTAAGAACAATGAAAAGTTGGCACATTGTCTTCCTTTTTATGCTGTGAAACTGACTTGCTTATTATTATAACAGCCGCTAAGTGTTGGCAATATTGATGTATTGGCCAAACTACCTGGCATCCCATCCAATTGCCGGGGCTGCCCTTCCTCAATCCAAGATATAACACGCAGATAAATACACAATCAGAACAGTACAGTATGTGAGTAGGTAGCTTTGAAAAACTCCAGCGCAATGCAACTCCAAAAACCTAGCTTTCCGCCATTATTTTCCGTCCCTAGCAAAGCTCGCCAGTGAAGGCTATAATCCAAAAACAGCAAAGCAGTAATAAACCAAGCGCGCAAAAAATAAAAATAAAATCTCAAAAAAGTATGGCTTCCAGAACAGTCCGCTATGCAGTCGGGTATCGTTATCCGTCGTATGTCGTCAAAGGAGTGTGTGTCTATGCCGAAAACATCGTCATAAATGTCTAAAAGGAATGTATGTCGTTCGTACAAAATCCGTCCAGAAGGAGTGTCTAGTGGGTATCATGATATAGCAGCAATAAGGAGCGTTGGTTCAAACAAGAAGTATGCCGCGTGTCGTTAAAAAGGAGTGTCGTGAGATCTCTGATTTATGCCAACGGCGCAGCCGGCCATTTCCGTCGAGATCGTGTTGATGATGTGCAAAAGGATTGTTGTGTACATTCGCGCCTGTGCTGGATATGCAGGTAGAAAAGGGGCGGCTACCAGCCGGGGAAGAAAAAAAACCAGTGAAAGAAGATGTTAAAAATATAAGTGATCAAAACAAGGGGGTCGAACTGGAAGAAGAAAAAAAAAAAAAAAAAAAAAAAAAAAAAGACAAATTCGAAAAAAAAGGTTGATGGTGAAGCGGTGAAACAGTCGGAAGGAAGATGGGAAGAATCAACCTTCAGTCTTCGTCTCTTTCCCCTTTCCTTTATTCGCAAAAGATGCCCGACGGACCGAAGCGTAGATGTGTCGGTGTTGCATAAGAGGAACCGACGCGGTCCGGGGCGCAAAGGATAGGGACGAGTCTTGCGAAGAAGGTAGCAACAGCGGGGTTGGAACTTCAGGTGGTGGCGGATATGAGCTCAAAGAAGCCGACATTGAGGGAGCTGGCGAGGGCACTGATCGTATCCTGAGGCAAAGCACAGAGAGAAGAAAAACAAGTCAACCAAATTTGCCCTTCGGATGGTTTCGTCTTTTCAGACCCGGGAGGCCAAGACGGCTAGATCCAGACGGTCTGGAGTGGAGAGACGAACCCGACGCCAAAGTTGTTTGATCCACCCAGCATCTGGGCATGTCCCATGCTGTTGACACTACCGCCGGAAGCGTAGGTCACGTCGTAGGGGCCGAAGTCATCGTTATCGCTGTAGGCCACCGAAGAGCCATCGCCGAAGTCCCCAAGCGTGCTTGAGGCCGGGCTGTAGCCTCCATAAGAAGGACTGGGGATGTTGAGGTACTGCTGGGCCACATATGGGGATGACAGCTGGAGCGGGCTGATGGCCGAGCTCTGGCTTGGTTCAGCACTCAGCAGCGACAGGTCTTCCGTGCTGTAGCTGAAGTTCGGGTGTGTCATGATCCCTCCCGCGCCATAAGCCATGTGATGATAATCTGACGGTCCCGTAGTGGGCGGCATAGAGAGCGAGCCCGAGACGGATGAGACATGGTGGCTAAAGTTGGGCGGGTTGAACTGCGGGAACGAAGGCGTGCGAGCCGGGTGAACCCAGCCCATGCGGGAGCGGAATTCGTGCACAACATCGATGGGGAATTCCATAAGCGACAAAGGCGTCTGCACATCGCCTTCCACGGCGCCATTGACGTTGATCGATAGCAGGCGGCGGGCGATCTCCTCGACAGGCCCAATAGAGAGACTGCCAAAGTACGCCGCACCGATCTCGGGGAACAGGCGTTCCATGACCAGAGCCACCGTGTAAAGATGTGCGATGGTGATGAGGGCACCGGGCGAGCTGCCTGCACTCTGGAAGTAGCGAACAGGGGTCCAGAAAAGCCAGTCACGCAGAGGGCGAAGTCGGGCAAACTGCTGAGCAACAGGAGTGTTGCTTTCCTTCCGAGCGCCCTTAATGAATGTAATGAGCTGCGAGATGGCCCTGGTGTCCTCCTTGTTGTGCTTGAGGTAGGCCTCCACGTTCTGCAGCTGTTGCGTGGTGCGCACGAAGAACTCCAGATCCTCCTTGCGAGGCTGGTTCGGCTTGTGGTCCGGAACAGGAGACGGCGGAGCCGTAGGGAAAGTGCTGCTTTCGGCAATGAAGTCGCCGAACTGGGATTCATGTTTCCAAGGGCCCATGGCTTCGATAACCTATAAACGATGGGGTTAGTCTAGTTCGCAGCCAACTTACGGCCAGCACTGCTCCGAAATGTCACCTACCGAGCGGGTGCCCTGCATCAGCTGGGTCCAGCTACGCCTGGGAGTGGGTCAGCGATTGTAAGTGAGATGCACTGCCTGTTTCCAATTATGCGACGTACCAGTCTGTAGCCTGCCAAGATAGAACAAGCGAGGCGGCGAGAATAGCATCCGATGTCTCCCTGGAAAACGTGCTGATGGCCTCCTGCAACCCCTTGAGGGCAATTCCCCGGTGCTCATCTGCCATGATGCCAACAACGGGGCATTCGTTCAGATAGGTCATATGACTGGCCGAGAATGCAAGAAGCGCGTGCATGACATAGTTGTTAGTCGCACCGATCTTGATGATCCTAATACGATCGTCAGTATGCCAAAAATGCAAAATTGGTCAAAAATCAAAACTCACGTCGGAATCTGGCGCGTCCAGATGGTGAAGCCGTCAGCATCAATGCTCCGCAGCTGATGGCAGATCGAAGCAACATGATAAATCAGGCGCAGATTGTCCACAGAAAAGCATCGAGGATTCGGTTCCGGGTAAACATTCAGTTCCGGAAAGGGGAAGACGCCGGTTTGCTGCCAATGGCTGATTTGAGCCTCAATTTCAGGGGTCCACATAAGATCCGGACGATCAGGCGAAACGGAGCGGTCGTCAGGAATGGCGATATCATTGTAAGGGCAGCGAATCTTATGCTTGGTACAGTTGCGGCTAAGTAAAAGTTAGCATTATGAGGACCGTGGGACCTCAACCGCTGTATAACATACCATTGAGGAAAGGTCTCATCGCATCTGATGTGACGCCGTTTGCTGCCGACAGAGTTAGCCAAATCCATTAACCTGTATATGCTGCCCCAAAAGGCGCCATGTGGCAAACATACCAAGTCTCACATCCCTTGCGGGACTTGGTGTGACTGAGAGAGATGTTAGCCATTAACTCCGTGGACGGTACAAAATTTGATGGGAGCCTGTCTCTTACCTGCGACGAGGGGGTCCACCGCCGGGGCCAGCCATTGCTTAGATAGAAGAAAGAAGCGAGTGACGAAGCTGCAAATGCAGTCAGTACAAGTCCTATTTACGTCTTTCGATGCGCCCTGTGGTATTTTCGGCTGGATCACGAGTGGCGCTCACCTAGAAACAGATATTAAAAAGTATTGTCGATCACGACGACAATAAGAATAGATTGCGAAAAGCGAATGTGATACGAGAGCGTGTCGAGAAAGGGCCGATGTTGGGCTGGGAGTTTGGAGAGGCCAGCAAAACAGGGCGGTCCAGAATATCTCTGATCCGGGATAAAGGTCCTAGAGTAGTGAAGCTGTCAAGGACGGCGGCTTGAGACGGACTATTCGAATGGCTATGACTGAATGGTGAGCGTAGTCCTGGCGCCGGAAGAGTTGGTGGCAAGAGCGGGTTGCTGGTAACGCTTTTGAGAAGCGATCGATAAATTTGCTCTTGGGAATTCCCTCTCTTTTATAGAGCTGCTGTGTTGTGATTTGGTGATTTGGGTATTTCGAGATGACGAAGGTCCGGTTAGAATTTCTCTTTCCGATCTTCTCGTCTCCAAACACAAAAAGAAACAAGCGAATGACAGGAGCCACGAGGACTTCCTTGGGGGTTGCTAAAAGCGAGTGTGGGTTTTTAAAGTAAGAGCCGGAGCAAAGTGCCGAGTATATGTTGAGATCGATAATGCGAAGAAGAGGGAACAGGAAGGCTGTCGGAGAGGGGGGCCGTTTAGTTAAATACCACGGGGGGGCAGTGCATGTAGTCAGCCAGGCGGTATGTTCTATCTCGCCTGTTGTCAATGCTGGGTGTAAGAGCGCCAGGCAAATAGCACCGAGAAGCCCGGGGGGATTGGAAGGGGGGGAGGGGTGCAGAGTGTGTTGTGGGTGTGTGGGCTGGTGAGGAGACCATGCTGTTTTGGGGGGGTGTTTTTCACTCTTGTCCATTTCTTGGTACCTGGTAATATTCGTTCTATTTTGCTGTGTTGGGTGGTCAAGAGTTTTGGGAAGGTGGGGCAGGCAGAGGCAAGGGTAGCCGGCGGAAAAAAGCAGCGCAGAGGGCGATGCCTGAGATCAGACAGGCAGCAGGAGTGAAGGGAGAAGCAGAAAGAAGGAAAAGAAGGCACCAACGGACAAGACACAACCCACCGCGCTAGAAGAGCGGCCACCACAGCACCGAAGAGTGCTGTAGCTCAGTGGCTGCCACAATAGGGAAGGTGGCTGTGAGGGTGTGGATGGCCTTTGAGTGGAGTGGAGGGGGTGTGGGTCCGTGTTGTGGATGTGTGTGTGCCTTTGTGGGTGTGAACGTGCAAGAGAGAGCTGTTCGGGCGTGTGTGGGCGTGTGGGCGCGCGGGAGACCAGCACTTACTTGCCTGTTCTGCTACATAGTAGACGAGCGCTTCTGGGGGATTCTGGTGCCCTCGCGTACGGACCGGCCTGGGGCTTGCGGCGCCGAACGCCTGTCCGAGGCGAGGCAATACGGCAAAGGACCGCAGGGGGAAGGCAAGCCTGGACCGGCGAAATTCAGGACCAGAGACGTTACGGAGAACGAGGCGATGACAGCATATGGCAGGGCCAGCCCACAATAGCGACATGGAGGAGGGTATTTTCGGATTTTCCATTTCCATTTCGGATTTTCCATTTTCCATTTTCCAATTCCCGCTTCTGGGAGCCTGGTACCGAATAAACCGTTGTGCCACGAGATATGAAAGGGACATTCAGACAGTTGTGCCCATGTATCTTCCGAGGCTCCCGCACAGAGGCGCTGCACGTATTGTTACGTCATGACGCTGCTACGGAGTAGGCTATACCTGAAGAGTACGGGGAGAGGTGGTCTGAGCTTGGCCCCAACCACACCACTATTGGGTGCTGTGGCCGTTCTAGGTAGTTTTCTCGGCACCATAGCCGCCCAGGGACTAATTCCAATGCCCATTGCAGTAAGATGCTAGAGCATGAATGCTGCAAGCTTGCTATGCAAACGGCAGTGCGGTGCAGGCGCAGCTCCGCTATGGCCAATGTTGGGACGACTGCTAGTCCCGACAGACGATGGCCAGCAGTGGTGCCAGCAGACTCGATTCTCTTTTTTTTTTCGCTTCTATTTCTGCACTGTCCTAGCGCGACGGCATGTATGGCAGACGGCCAGCGAGATGCGCCAAGTGTATCAAGACGACTATGCGACCAAGCAAGCCAGGAGTCGCTTTCTACAACAGCAGGGTGAGAATAGAGCGGCTCAGGAGGGGGCATAATTAGGTTTAGCATTTCGCCTTATGAGAGCACCCTACGTTCGGATGGGAGCCGCCGCGATGAGCAACCTGGAGGCGAAGTCTGCAAAAGGAAATGAGGCCGCACTGGCCAATAGGACCAGGGCGGTGACATTCTGGAAGAGGCCAGCAGGAACGGATACTGGTTGGTTGGCACGGAACTGTGCGACCGGGGCGGTGCACGTCTTTCCCTCTCGACCACTGAGCTGTTTACCGTGTATTGGAGTGACATTCTGCCCCTAATAGCATGATACGGCCCAAGGTGGAGCAGCAATCATACTGCCAGTGATGGCTCTGCAGGGAAGGCTGTTTCCGCTGTTCGGAGTCCTGTCGCAGGATGCCAACAGATAATGAATGGGGCCGTCTCTTTTCGCCTACGACGTAGCCAATAACCCCCGCACAGTCGCAAGCACAAGCGACATCTTACCACCATGATCAGCAGCCCTCTGCAAGGGGCGAGCCAGAAGGAAAAAAAGGCAGGAGTGGGTTCAGACGGACTTTTGTCGGTCAGAGACATGTTACGTAGCACTTCGGCCTCAACCAAGCCCAACAGAAGCCGGGCAGCCATGCTTTGAAAGGGAGGAGCAGATGAGAAGTGTGAGATGGAAAAATGTAAGATATGGCATGAGCATCTCTGTACGGGGCGCATTTGCAGGTGGCGGACGGCGATCGGCCGTCTTCCGCGTGTGAGCGCGTCTAAACGCAGCCCAATAGCATGAAATGCTTCAGCCGCTGCGCCTGCGCCCGTTGACTCTTGCGCAGTGGAGTGTCCTCCCCCTGGAACAGCATACTCCGTACATACTCCGTACGCATAAGATATCTGGCATACTAGCATATTGGTCGCGGAAATATTTCCATAGATAGAACTGCGCCGTGCTCGCACGCAAGATACCATGTAGCATTGTGCTCCATCGGGAAGCAGAGCCCTACAGCTGAGACAGACAAGCATAGCACAGAACAGAGGCGGTGACCGCATGAAGTGCCGTCTTCGGCCACGGCCAGCGAAGAGGCCGGCCCCGAAAGGGAGTAGGCACAATACAAGTGACCGTCAGTGCGTCGCCGTTTTGCCGACCAGTTTAGCAACGACTGGCTGAATTAGGAAGCTGGAAGCCAGGAGAGAGCCCTGAGAGGCTATAAGAGGCTATAAGAGGCTATGAGAGGCTATGAGAGGCTATAAACAGATCAGCCCGTTCTAGCAAAAGGAGAAGGTTGCGCTTACTCCGTGATGAAGACGACCTTGTGATGGATGATAGTACGACGTACTCGTAGGTAGGATTGAGGACAGACGCAAAGTCGAAAAGCGCCCCCAGACAAACAGCCCTATGACGTATAAGGAAAGAGCGGCGATGCCAAAAATAATATCGTATCGACATCAAAGCCCGAGAGGCGATCTGCGATTCCTAGAGCTTGACGGGATGCACGAGATTTTGATCCGCAGCACTATTTCTCGTATCCTACGACGCTTGATGTGTACCTATCTACGACGTATCTCATTTTGCCAAGCTGTCCGTCTTGAGACCGCCCGTGCCAGTGTCCTGTTTTCAATGATACCCTCCGGTGAAAAAGCCGGAGCTAGCATGTAACCCGCCGGCACGAACACCGGCGTCCACCGGCCTCGAGCAAGGCAGAGTTTATTTATTGGGATTAAAAAGTACAGAAAAAGTACAGCGCCACAAACGGACGACAATCTTCCAAAGGCGACTGTTATTCAGGCTTGGCAAGACGCCTGCTCCCAGATCAACAATTACTGCCTATTTCATTTTTTACACTCCGGAGATGCTCAAACGTTACCGACGAAATTTGTCCGCGTCGGTTTGTCGGATCGCTTCATTCACCGTCGGCACGGATCCTTGTTCCTTAGCCTGACCCAAGACAAAGAGGGCGAAAAGAAAGGAGAGAAGAGAGTGGAAGGAAGCCGAGCCAGGGCAGTTGCTGCCCCACTCTCTGCTGTTGCTGAATCTTTTTCATTTGTGTGTGGTGTGAATGTGTCTGTGTCTCGGGTGCTGCGGGTCGTTGAGCTGGGTGTCGACATTGGCCTCCTTGCCTGTTGCTTCCAGGTACCGACAGGCAGGGACACCAGCTTCCTTACTGGGAAATATCGCAAGGACAGCATGGGGACTATGGCGCAGGGGCTCCTGTCCTAGTGGCTATCTTAAAAACCCACAGCACTGTCGACATCCAACAGCTTAGCGAAACCCGGAAAAGGCACCAGAACCCCGTCTCGGCTTGGCCATCCCTACTGCTCCGTACTCCGTACTTCCGTAGCGAATAGGCCTCTGCTCCCGCGCCCCTCTTAGTGTACCAAATGCGACATGGTGCGGGATGGAAGTGTATTTTATGCTCTGTCCATACGGCTTCCGAACGGACCAACTGCTTTCGTGTCATTTTGGGTGTGCAGTTAGGGTGGAGAAGAAGGATGAGGTCGCAGGCGAAAATAAGATGCCATTATGATTAGAGGGAGGGATAAAGAACAGGGCCAACAGGGAGGCTGGGGAAGTCGTCTGGGTCATGGTAAGATCCGAGAACTCACGAATGCCGGGGAGACATGAAACAGACGTTTCTCGTATCCCGAGTTGGCACTTTTCCAATTCAATCCGTCTGGGGAATGTGCAAGCAAGAAGCCTCCCTTTCGGCCTGAGGATGCCGAAGATTTGTAATCTCGCAATGGGGAGGTGGTAATCTGCAAGATGGCTAACTGGGAAGGGCATTTGGGTGTCGACCGTCGAAATAAGTTTGCGCCGAAAGCTTGTTGCTA